GAGAGTGGAACCCTCTTAAATAGAAGTAGTGACTTAGATAAGAGACTTTGGGGCAGTCCCTAGACCCTACCATTGTGTGGACACACCGCTGTGAACCAGAAAGAGGGCCTTCATTAGAAGGCAACCTTGGTGCCTTGATCTTGGCCTTCCCAACCTCCAGAACTGTGAGCCATAAACTTCTGTTGTTTTAAGTTACCCAGTAAGTGATGTTTTATTATAGCAGACTGGATGGACTAAGACAGTAACTATACTTACATGGTATCAACTGTATTTACAACTAAATGACCATTGAGGAGCCACTTAAAAGCCAGGAATGGACCCAAGTGACCTTGGAGCCTGCTTTCTAAAGACAAAGTCCCCATGTGCTATTTTGACATGGGTTTGAGAAAATGCTGAGGGCCACTAGGACAGAATAAAGGAAAATGTTTTCTTGTAAGAAATCATGACGTATCCTACTTCATGGAATTGACTCCAGAGGGCACTGAACAGAAAATCAAACTAAAAGGATAAGATGTTTTGAGCTGGGTAGAAACTAGCTAAGAGGGAAAAGCAGTTATGATGAGAACCTGTGAAACAGTTGGGATCATTAAAAATAAGGACAGGTTTGTACCCGGCTGGACTACTCCAGACCAGAAAGAACTGCAGTAATTTAAAACTTGGTGATTCAGAAGTTTCCCCATGAACTGTCTTTCAGGGCACAGCCGTCGGAGTTACGGGCATTAGCAGCAGAAGGCAGTGGCTCACCATGCGGGGCTGGAAAAGCCACCACATCCAACTCACGGGCAGAACCAAGAATGTAGTCTTTATCCAGAGAGTGGATTCCTTCCTTAAGGGACTCTTCAGGTTCACAGGAGCTGGATGGATAAGCTTTACTAACTAAAAAGTGGACCAATCTCCTTGTTCTGGCAAAAGTCATGTTTTCCCCCCTACGGGAGAGCCTCCTGGGAAGCTAAATTACTAGAAAGCTTTGGTATGCACTTAATTAGATTACAAAATGTTAGTTATATAACTTGAGTGTTTAATGTCACCTTCTCTGGATGCTGGAGTCAGATTGTCTGGTATTTGTGTCTTGTCTTGGCTCCTTATTGGTTGTGTGATCTTGGGTAAATTAGCAACAACTAAAATACAGTTTTCTTTAAGATAGGGTGATAACTGTACTTCACACCATGGTAAGAATTAGGCACCAAGAATCATACAATAAATGTAAATTATTCTGTACATCTTGCTGCCTACCCACATTCCCAATTCTACTTCTGACAACTGCTCTTTTTGGATTAATTAATAGAATCAGTTACTGATGGAGCTTTCTGCGACCAGGGAACTATTCCTCCTAAGGGCGGTATGCTTTGTGCTATAATTTTCATGAGTAAAATTCTATTTCCAAAATCTTCCTTAGCTCATACTGTTGCCTCATAAAAGGCCTGCAATAATCATGACAAGAATCTCCCTCTCACTTAGGGGGCAAGACCTAAAGTTATACCTGAACATTCTTTTGCCTCTTTACCTATTAAGGCCATAGTTGAGATATTAACATCTGACTCAGCAGACATTGAATATGTTCAACTCCCTGTTTTGAGGTACTGAGGATACATAAATGACCCAAAATGTCTTTCCTGTTCTTGAAATAAAAGTCCAACTGTTCAGACTGGTTAAAATAAAAATCAATAATGCATTAATGCAAATGATTATAAGGAAAAAAATTGACTCAGGAAGAAGCAAATCATTCTCCAGGAGAATCTCATTCCAGGTGTTACAGGTTCACAAGGCATTAGCAAGCAAGGCACGGGCATGTAAGATCAGCCCTTCTCCAGTTCATAAAAGCACACAAAAACTTTGGAGATAGGAAGTCACCCCTCATGACTGGCCTAGGGTGTGGAGTAGTGGTGCTCAACCTTGTACGACCTTTGGAAACCTCATGCCAAGGCCAACCACTTTATGCTAATGCTCTAAAGCCCTGCCTGTCTGTATCATCTACCCAAACCACAGGACTTTTTTCCTTATTGATTTCTGCTTTCTTCAGACCTCTCTAAAGACCATATTTAGTTTTTCTCAGTTCAGGTTACTGCTGTCTAAAATCTAAAGAACTTGACCTAGGCCTTTGTGCCACATGGTGGCATATAGGTGATTTCTGTTCTCTGCTATAATTCTTCACCCTTGAATTATCCATCTCATCAGTACACTTTTCACCTTCCAGAACACCCTCTCACCTGCCCTCTGCATTGATGTTCACTGCTCTGTTTGAAGAGCTAGGCAGTTTTGTCCAAAACTCAGGGAATGAAGTGGCATGCTCCATATTGTCCAGTAACTTGTTGGCAAAACCAGAATACTACTCAGATCTTCCAGCCCCACCCTCTCTTCCTGTTCTTTCACTGGCTTCTCAGAATTCCTCACTCTGTCAAATAAACATTTCCATTTTTCTGGATCTTCTAAAGATGATGCTGTCGCTCAGAGTTGCCTGGGAGGTTCTGGGCTTCCTGGTTCCCAATCCTCTACCGCTTCTCCAAATTTTATATGATTTATATTAGGGGAAGGAAGGAAGAGTTCTACCCCTAAGGTAGGTTGATGCTACTGTCTTAACCTAAAGGAAGGGCTTTAATGTGAGAAATTTTAGGTATTTGGAAAGCAGACAGCCGAGGCATTTGGAGTGATAACTTACTCCTCTGTTAGTATGTCCTTAATAACAGCTCACTTCTAAGTGATATTGGAGGTAGACAACATCCTCTAGCCCTTGAGCACCATGTTTTTGTCTTAAATTAGCCTGGAGAGACCATAACAGTAGTAGGCAGAAGTCAGGGAAGGAGAGGCAAGTAAAAGGTATGGGCAGCGGGTGGCGAGGAAGGACTGGTCACTGGGTATCACAGCAGTCATAAAGCAAAAACAGTTCTGAGGCTTCCGCCTCCAGCCCACACTCTTATCTTCTTGTCCCACTTCGACATACCCAGCTATTTCCACATACTTCCTCCTGGATGGCTCCCAGGTCATTCTCCCAGTGTGCTTCTAGGGCTCGCCCCTGAAAGATACCAGGATCCTCTTCATCACCAATGTCTGTCCTGCCTTCAGGACCACCTTCAGGACGACTCTTCACTCTTAACTTCTACTTCATCCCACTGCCTCTCCCTGACTCAGGCCACTGTCATTTCTGACCACAGTGTCAGATTCCTGCTTCCTGTTCCTCTCTCCAAATGCTGGAGTAGCCTTTCCAAAGCACAAATGTGATCACATTACCCTGCTTCAAGCCCACAAAGCTCCCCAGGGCACTGGGGGTAAATTCCATTCCACACCTTCACCCCCATCCTGGCCCCTACTCAATTCTTCAGCTTGCTTTCCTCCACCTGTTAAAACTCAGCTCTGCCTCCCTCACTGTGCTCTGCTGAATCTTCATCCTAGTCCTTAACTGAGACCCCAGAGGTAAAAGTGCATTCTAAAGAGCTGAGCTTCATGGGGCAGTTCCAGGAGCATTTTGAGTTTCCAGGATGTTTCTATAGTTCTATGTTTCATACTTGAAAGGTTTTCAAGTTGTGTTTAAGATAAGAGTAATATATCAGGGCTTCACTAGGGCAAAAGAGTTAAGATGCAGCACTATGAAGCTGTCTGCAGCCACTACAGCATGAGTTCAATCCCCAGCCAGGGAGGTAACCCAAATGGCACAGCAGACCTCTCCTGACCCACCCACTGCTTCCCCAACCATGTATTTTAGTCAGTCTGCCTGTTCTGCTCCCCATTCTGTCTCTGGTGAAAACTCTTATCCCTTTTCCCCCCTTTACCTCTGGCCTACACCCCAGCTCTTGTAGGCATAAATAATCTTTAAAAGGGGGGGGGGGTTTGCAAATGAGATAGATGCACAAAATGATGTAAAAATAAACTATTTTTTTTTAAAAAAAGACCCTTACATCAATTAGGGAAATTGGATATAGCGAGCTGAGAGCTAGAGACAAGTTTTTTTTGTTGTTTTGTTTTGTTTAAGATTTATTTATTTATGCTTACAGAACTGGGGTACAGGTCAGTGTAGTGGGTGAAAGGATTCACCAGAGACAGAGTGGAGAGCAGGACAGGCAGATGTACTGAAATACACTGCTGAGGGGAGCAGCGGGCGGGTCAGGAGATATCTGCCATGCCATATGGGTCAGCTCCCTGACCAGGAATCGAACTCATGCAGCAATGGCTCCTGAGAGCTTCATAATGAGGTGCTTTGACCTGTTGCACCACCAGGGAGAGTCAACTAGAGACAAGTTTTAGAGGCTTTCATCAAAAGCTATTTTTTAGCCACTTACTGTGTATTTGACCTGATTGTTGGGAATAGTAAAGGCAGGTGCAACCTGATTAAGAGAACTGCCTGGAACTCAGATTCCATGGCTCCACCCCAGGCCTCTGAATTGGAAATTTTCTGGTGAATTTTGGGCATGGGTCAATTGGGGAGACCCACCTTGATATTTACGTGTAAGTAGTATTCAGACTAGGCAAGTCTATAGAGACATAAAGGGATTTGTGTTTGCCGCATGAGCAGGGAGGGGGTATTCAGAGACACAGGAATGATAGCTAAGGGAGCAGGGTTTCTTTTCAGTTTGATGGAAACCTCTAAAACTGACCATGGCGATGATTGCACAGCTCTGTGGATATACTAAAAGCCATAGAACTGTATGATTTCAATGGGAGAATTGTGTGGCATGTGGACTCAATCTCAATATAGCTGTTTGAAAACAGATTTGGGTGGTACCTGTTACTAGTGGAACAGTCAGCAAACACTGGCGGGTGGGTGGACGGGGGCACCATACACACGGTGGCTGCAAGGTACTGGTAACGCAGGGTGATCGGGTCCACCCCAGGGGAGCACAGGTCCTGTGGCAGGAGGGAGGGCTGCCTCCTGGCGATGCCAGGGCGGGCGCCTGGAGGGTGGACACGTACTAGCTAGACAAGATGTGGGCTGAGAAGGCTGTGCTACACTTTGCTTACTATCATTTCATTGTAACGACCACGAGAAAAATATCCCAATGAGACAGAAGGAAATTTCCAGGACCTGGTCTTGTTACGTTGTTTCCCTTAAAGGCAGTTTTCCAAGAGCCTATGGCTATGTTGAGTGAGGACTTACTCCACCAGGAGAGGCCAGCAAGCTCTGTGATGGTTTGGCGAAGCTCCAGGGCTGAGTGAGGAGCCGTGTGACTCTAGAAGTGACGCTGAAGAGGGAATTGGCTCAGAGGTTTGTAAGACAGGATGAGGGGGCTGGGATTTCCTTACCAAACTGACTTTCCTTTGGTAAGTCAGTTTCCTTACCAAGAAAAGAGCCTGAAGGTGGATTTGTGTTTTAGAAATCAGCCTGCCCCGTGGAGAAAGTGGAAGAGGGGCAAGACAGAGAAGCCTGTGAGGGCAGGTAATGTGTAGGTGACAGGCTGATTGTCCTGAACCTGAGTGGTGGCCATGGAGATAAAGGGAACAGAAATTCGAAATATCTGGAGCATTTAATTGACAGGATTCTAGTGATAGGGAAGAAGGGACAGAGGCAAGAGTCAAAGATGAGGCCCCGTTGTGTGGCTTGGAGAACCAAGAAGCCTAGTGGAGAAATAAGCTTTGAGGTGCCGAGTTTGGTTTTGAGCACGTTGAGTTTGAGGTACCGTAGCTGTTCAGGGGAGGTGTCTGGTCAGCAGTTGGGTATGGGGGTCCAGAAGTGAGGAGAGCCATGGGAATCATCGGCTTAGAGCCTCAGCACATAGATGGAGGCTCGAGGAACGGATGAGTTGCTCCGGGGTATATTTCAAGAGAGGTGAAAAGGGTCTAAAGGGACTCCTGTAGAGTGACATTTGTGAGAGGATGCGTGAGGTGGTGGTGGGAAGGCTGTAAGGAGATTCAGAGGAAGTAGCTAGAAACGTTGGTGTTAGCCAGAGCAGTGCAGCTGCTTTTCAGCTACTCTGAGTCAGCAATGACTAGGGTCCATATGTCCTGGGTGTACTTGGAGACAAGCGAAACTGGACCACAGACGTCAGATCCGGCAAACACCATCACTTGATTGCAGCCTCCTTTCTCGCAGGCCAACAACAGTGTATTTCCCGAGTGACAGAGTGCTCTTCCTTCCAGCGCAGACAGGCCTTGGCGTCGTTGGCGAGCTCACCCTCTGGTATTGCTCAGGCCCAAAAGAGCCATGCCAACAGCCAAGGCAACCAGTTTGTGTCCACCGGGGACGATGGCTTAATTAGGGTCTTCCAGGGCTGTCAAGGTGGGTGGAGGGAAGGGAAGGAGCATGTCATATGCCTAGGGTTCAGCAAATTGTACCCACACAGCAGGCACAGAAACACAAGGAAGGCACCCCCGCTCTGTGGGCGAGACAAAGCAGTCCTCTTCCCATGTGCCAACCCATCTGCCTCTTTGCCGTCACAAACATGCCTTTCTCTTCTTTTTTTGGTTCTCTGCAGCTTCGAATATATGAGGGAGAAGTGTGGGAGACAGGAGGAAAGGTAAGGTTGAAGAGAACGGGGGGGGGGGGGGGGGAGGTACCAGTGAGTCCCGACACAATAAATCATTTCCTGGACTACCTCAGCCTGGCCCCTTTTTTGCAGTGCGCTCTAGTTTCCTCCCGGGAAAGCCCCAGTAATGATGGGCCACGTGTAGCCGTGGCCTCGGTGGACTTGATTGACTGGGTGCTTCTGGGTGTGTCGGCGTCTTTGGAGGCCCACTTCCTGCAGCCTCCTTGAGGCTGGCACAGGCTCCACAGGGTATCTGGGGCCAGGAATCCCAGCTGGGTACCCTCAATTCCTAGTGGTCCATCACCGGGGGGAGCAGGCGCCCTGCTGTGCAGAGTGTGGGCTAGCAGGTGAGCGCCTCTCAGAACCTGCTGGCAGCAGGGTAGGAGGTGGGGGGAGCACCAGTGAGATGCCTTCTGCCCATCCTGACTTCCACCCACTCTTGGCTAAAGCTGGCTGCTGGGACCTCAAGACCCTTCTTGTAGAGGACAAAAAGTTGGGGGCCCTATCCCCTGCCAGCATCAGAGAGTAGGAATGTAGGGCCACTCGGACTTTCAGTGACCCCAGCTGGGGTGTTAGCTTGTGACCTCCATTTCTTGCCCAGTTCCTATCCTCTCCTGTGGATTGAGCTATGAGCTCTCGCCGCCCAGTCTCCCTGTCTGTACTTTCCCAGGACCTGGTCAACCACTGTTCACTTCCTCTTTACGAAACACATCAGCACTTAGTGTGCACGTGGACAGGACAGTCCTGCCCTGCCAGTGGGCCTCTTGGGCCTCAGCCCTAGCGTGGTGGTGGGACTACAGTCCTCTTGCAGGGACCCTGGGCAGCCCCAAGCAGTGGCTCCTGTGGCCGCTGGCCTGGTCTGTCACTTTGCCTTTTCCGCCCCCTGCAGTCCTAGCTGACCGGAACGCTGGGCTGCAGACATCCCCGCCACGCCACCCTCGCAGTGAGGCAGGAGTACAGACCTGCCAGTGTGCTGAGGGTGCTTTGCCTGCCCCCACCCCACCCCCACTCTTCTGGAATGAGCCACCTGCATCCACACACAGGTGTTTCCTGTGTTCCTTCCTGTTGCCTTTTTTTCTTTTTCTTTTTCTTTCTGCTCTGCTTGACTTCCCAGGCAGGTGGTTAAGGACCCAGCCAAACGTCTCTGCACAGTGCCAAAACACTGAGGAGGGCTCCCTGGGGATCTGGGTCACCCCCTTCCCCCCAAAGGGCTGTTGGCACCTCATTGGCTCTTCCTGACTGCGGCAAATACACTCCCCAGGGTATCACGCTGCTGTGTTACTGCCACAGGCACCGTGACACCGAGTGGGCTCAGGGAGTGGAGGCCCAGGGCTTAAAGAAAGCTCTGGAGAGAGAGGGGAAGGGTGGAGGCCTGTTTTTCCCGCCTTGGGTGTGGGCCTCCTGCAGGTCTCTGCTGCTGGCAGCAGCATGGGTTGGTGAGCCACAGAATTCGGTCAGGTTTGTTATTAGAGTTGGTGGCTCCTGCAGAGGAGAGACTTACTGTTTAGGGTCACAGGGCAGCCATCCGGGTCTTCTGCCTCCTAGGCGCCAACAATTCCCCTCTGTAAGGATCTCTTTTCTCTTGCGTGCAGCCCTGGAAGGAGCTCCTTGGCGCCAGCTCCCTCTATTGGAAGCTGCCTGGGCAGAAGGGGAAGACCAGCAGCCTGGCATTCGCTGGTGGGGCTCTGCTGCCCCCTGGTGGTGAAAGGCTCCAACACCACCGACTTTCCCTGCCTGCTCCCTGCCTCCAGGCGATCCTAGCTGCTGAGAGCTGCTCCCAGGACTGGTACCTTGTAGACCGGCTCTAGGCCAACTCCACAGTCCCACTCCAGCCAGGGTCCATAGGTCAGGCCTGGCCGGTACTTCAACAACCCCACCACCCTCTTCCTCTTCTCGCTTCTCTAAGCAGTCTCTGGGCTCTTTTCCACCCGGATTTCCAGAATAAAGGCATGTGCATTGTCACAGCTGGAATGTGGACACAGTGCTGTCAGGAAGGGCCACAGCTGGGAGGTGCTAGATAGAGCAGGGAGGCAGGAGCTTGGCCAGAACATTAGGAAAGGCAATTTGCATTTTTATTTTCTGTAAAACTCTGTAAATAAAATACAAAAAAAAAAAAAAAAAGGAGGAAGGAGCAGGGCAGAGGCAGGAGTGCCAGGCCCGGGACACTGATTTGTGGCAAGTGTGCTGAGCGGAGGCTGGGAGGCACTTGACTGCAGGCACTGACTCTACCCACCCCAGGGGCAACAGAAGAATATATTAGACTCTCATTGATAGGAATCTGTGGGGAAGGGGTGTCTGGAGCCAGCCTTCACCCTCCCTGCCAGTGCCTGATGGGCCCTGAAAGTGGGGAGAAGGGGCAGGTAGGCAGCTTAGAATGCCGTGCTGGCCATGCTGCCAGGCCCGAAGATGCGGGGCAGGGCGTCCAGAGACTCCTCCAGCCTTCGATGGGCAGACTGTCCCTCTTCCCCTGTAATGGGTGAGGATGGGGTCAGGAGTTCCCGTAGCCCCTCCCAGCCCTTCCACCCCAACCCCTACTTCCCCCATCAAAATGTCCCTGAACTTCTTGACCCACACCTCCAGCCCCCTGCCCCCCACCCTGCCTCACCACACTGTTGCAGGCTCTGCCGGGCAGCTTCCCTCACGGCTTCTGTGTCAGTCTGGCACAGGTACACCAGAGGCTCAATGGCCTCAGGAGCCTACAGGGGAGGAAGCAGGGAGGCAGCAAGGTGAGCAGGTGAGAGAGCCGGGGGTCACGGGGGAGCTGGGAATGGAGAGGAGGGGTGGGTGGGTTGGCAGAGTCACCTTGATGCAGCCCAGGGCCAGGCAGCCAGCCACCCTTGTCTGCACATCCTCATCCTCAAGCTGGTCCAGGAAGCACAGCAGGGCCTGGGTAAAGGTAGGAGACCAGACTCAGCCCCCCTTGGCAGCCCAGCCCCCAGCCCCTACTCTTAAGAGAGCCCTGCTCAACTCTCACCCTTTCCCTGAAAGCAGGGCCCAGTGACAGGCTCCGGAGCTGGGTGCTGACGGCAGCCATGACCTTGTTGTTGCCATGGACAAGCAGGGAGCTGAGGGCCTGAAGCCCGTCCCTTCGAAGTCGCCCCTCAGGCGCCAGCCTCAGGGCCTTCAGCACAATAGCCTGGTCATCCGAGTTCAGATTCCTCACCAGTAACACTGCAAGGAGGGAGGTAGGGGTCAGACAAGGTGGCAGAACTGGAAGCTTCCTGGGCTAGGGAGGTCTGTGTAGGCATGTCCTCACCCAGGCCTTCAGGCCCCCCCCCAGGGCCAGTCGGCTTTGTGACCAGGACCACTGCCTCACCTTCTTCTGCTGACTCAGTCACGTAGGCCTCCATGGAGGGGCTGTCCAAGGCTTCAACATAGCTCCAGAACCGGAAGATGGTGAGCTGCTCTCCAGGGCCAGGCTGGGGCCTGCGAGGCAGCTTCTGCCCCAGGGCATCCTCCAGGAACTTGACACACACTGTGGGAGGCAGGGCCAAGGCCTCAGGGTTCAGGTGGACACAGACGCTCAAGAGGAGGAAGACACACCCATCCCAGGCTCAGGTCCAGGCGTCCCCTGGCCAAGTCCTACCCATCTGGGTCTCTTTGAGCCCAGACACCAGCCTTCGCTACTCTCCTGTGCTTATAACAGAGCACAGTGTGAGCTGTGAGCTGACCTGGCTTTTCCCTGTGGTGGCACCAAGGATCTGAGGAACAAGGGCAGACGGGGCGGGTCTGCATCCCACTCACCAGCCTCGGCTAGGCCTGGCTGGCGCAGGGAGAGGCGGGCACCGTACTGACTGCAGAAGGCGAGGAGCACCCGCTCCACAGGACAGATGAAGGGGCTGAGTCCCTCTGTGCATTGGTCCCAGAAGGTCAGGAAGCCGGGCCGAGACGCTGAGAACTGCACCACTGAGGAGGGGGGAACACTGTCAGCACCGGAGCAGGGGGATCGGTGGGGCAAAGCAGGGAGCTTGGGGCAGACCGGGGGTCAGCCCCAGGGTCTTTACCTTCCTGGGCAGAGGTGGCAGGGATTCCCCATCGCCTGCTAAGCTCGCAAACTGCCTCAAGCACTCGTGCCTCCCGCAGCAGCCGCTCCAGAGCCCATGCCTCCTGGCAGCGCAGGGGCCCAAACGTGCCCAGTTTCTGGAGAATGGGTGGCCAAGTAGCTCAGACCTCAGGGGAGGCTAGAGCCCAGGAACCTAAGTCCCAGCATGCATTGGGAGAGGTGGGGGAGCCAGATGTGGAAGGTGTTCCATTCCGCGAAGGCCCCTGAAGCCAGGGCCCAGGGCAGTAGGGAGTGTAACTCAGGGGCGGCCGGGGGGGCCAACTGAAGTGCAGGGCCCCCTGAGGTAAGGGCTAAGGGGGGGGTAACACCACTGGCCTCACCAGCAGGAGGCGGCTGCAGTGGTGCAGGTGCTCCACCAGGGCAGCGTCCAGGGCTGGACACTCTGTGCTGAGGGGACGGGCACTGGGTGAGTCTAGGCTGTCTTCAGCCCCAGGCTCCGGACTGTTTGGGGGCCTGAGAGAAAAACAGGGTCAAGCACCCCAGGGACACTCATCACCATCTTGTCACCACTGTTTGTTTATTAAGCTCCCCTCGCCCCCCACCTCCAGCCCAGAAGAACAAACGAAGACAACACACAATAGGTAAGCTGACTGAGGACTTCCGGGAAGAGGAAGGGCTGGGCCAGCAGGCAGCAGCAGGAGTCTCCAGGCCGGCGGGGGCCATCTCCCGGGGCCCCTCCGCTAGGACCGCTGGGGCCGCCGGGGCTGCCGGGGCTGGGGTGGGCGGCAGTGCGGGTGCAGGCGGCAAGGTCTATGAGACGGGGGCGGCAAGGGGTGGTGGCCCGCAGGGCGCGGGGCACGGGGCCGCAGCCGGGGCAGCAGCAGAGCGGGGAGGGGCCGGGCGTGACTCTCAACTGGGAGTCGGCCGCTGCGGGATGGAGAGCCAAGGGGCCTGGCTCTCCGGGAGGGCCGGGGTCGACAGAGAAGGGGCAGATGCTGGGAGACCCAGGGTGCAGGGGGAGGCAGTGAAACCGCTCCTTCATAGGGCAGGTCCAAGGTGAGGCCAAGGGGGTGAGGAGGAGGTGGCGGCTTGCGAGCTGACGGGGACGGAGCTGATGGGGACCGGCGTGGGAGGCAGAAATTGCAGGGACGAGGAAGAGGGTGGTGGGAAGCACTGAGGACACAGACGGGGATGGAGACAGGCATGAAGGACACACGAGGAGCACACGGAGCGGGCTAGCTCGGCTGCCTCTGCCCAGCCCACCCCTGCCCGCCCTCCGGCCTGGCTGCTCCCTTCCCTGTCACCTGGTCCCACTTCACCTGCCTGTTTTCCCTTTCTCACCTTTTTTCTTGCTTCTTCCCCTCACCTAGCCCCCCTCACCTGTCCCCAGGGCCATCATTGTCTTCATCTTCATCCTCGTGGAGAAAGCTGAAGCTCTCCAGGGCGTGTTCCACGGTGATGCTAAGACTGGAGGCCCGGCTGCGAGTCAGGCCTTGTCTCTGCTGGGGTTGTACAGGGAGTCAGAGCCGTGGCCACTGCCTGGGTGTCATCCACGCGCAGCCGCGGCCCAGCCCCACCCCGCCCTCCTCACCATGAGCAGACTCTCCAGCCGGGTCACCTCCTGCTCCAGGCCCTGCAGTTCGGGGAACTGGCCTCGATAGTCATCCAGGGCAGCCATGAGGGCACCCAGTGCTTCCTCCAGCCTCCTGTCCCCAGTCCCCCCAGCTGCCCCCAGAACCTGTGCCTGGGCAGCCTTGGCCAGGCTAAGGTCTGAATGCTGGGGCACAGGTTCTTGGGGTGAGGGAGGGAGGCTGGGGCTGTGAGGGATAGGCTCCAGGGGTTCAGGGTAAGGGTTTATGAGGGATTCCCCACTGGAACAGGCGGGACTTGGGTAGGAGGTGCTGGGGGCTATGGGGTGGGTCTGAGTGGAGGGAGTGGGGGCTGGGTGACAGGTCTGGGGGTGGGTGCTTGGAAGGGCCGGATCTGTGTGTGCAGAGGAGCTGGGAAGTGTGGCAAGGTCTACTGAGGTGGAAGGGCTAATAGTTACAACAGTGGGGCTAGTGACCAGGTCAGTGGGCCTGCTGGTGGTCTGGACTGAGTTTTTAGCAAGGGGGATGGGACTTGTAGTGGTATGAGTTGACATCCTGGCATTGGGAGTAGGACTTACAGTGGTGTGAGCGGGGCTTGTGGTATAGGTGGGGCTCGCTGTAGTGTGGGTGGGGCTCGCTGTAGTGTGGGTGGGGCTTGCAGCCGTGTGGGTGGGTTCTGTAGTTGTGTGTGGGGGGCTTGCAGTAGTGGGGGCTGGGCCTGTGGCACTGGAGGCAGAGGCTGCAGTAGCAAAGGTAAAGAACGTGGGCTTGTCAATGGAGCTTGTGACAGTATGTGTTGGGTCTTTGACACTGTGGCTGGGGCTCGTGGTGGTCTGGGCTGGGCCTGTGTCCCTGGGAGTAGGACCCACTGCAGTGAGGGGAGAGAGTATTGGCTTGTGGGTGGGGCTCGTGGTGGTCTGGGCTGGGCCTGTGTCTCTGGGAGTAGGACCCACTGCAGTGAGGGGAGAGACTATTGGCTTGTGGGTGGGGCTAGTGGTGGTCTGGGCTGGGCCTGTGGCACCGAGGGCAGGACCTGCTGTAGGGTGGGGAGAGACAATGGGCATGTGGGTAGAACCTAGGGTAGTGTGAGTGAGGCTTAGAGCACTGTGGGTAGGGCTCATGGCACCAGACGTGGGGTCTGTAGTGGAAGTGGGGCCTGGCAGCTTGGAACAACTAGAGTCTGTGTCCTTGTGAACTGAGTCTGGATGGGCAGGGCCTGTAGTGCTGAGAGTGTGGCTTGTGGCAGAATGGTCAAGGTCTAGGGCAGGAGGAACAGGACTGGGGTGTTTCCCATGGGTGGGATCCGGGTGTGTAGGGTTAGGACTCCGAGCTAGGGTGTCTAAGCCCCCAGCCTCCACTGAAGCCTCAGCCAAGGCAGCATCCACACTGGCCTCACTGATGTGGCTCAGAGTCCGGCTGTAAGGGGCATGTCCATTGGCCAGGGACGGGGCCTTGACCCCCTCCTCATCCACAGGCCCGGAGGTGGGGGTCTCAGGCCTGCGGAAGGCGACTTGGATGGGGAGGGGTTCAGGCTGCTGCACCAAGGGCCTGGGGGCTGAGGAGTGGCGAGCAGTGCCTGAGAGCTGTGGGCTGGATGAGTCATCTGAAGATTCGGATGACAGAGACCATGCCGTGCCGTTCTCCAGCTCCTCCTGCCGCCTCAGCATATTCTAGGAGAGACAAGGGCATTTTAGGGCCATCTCAGGGAGCCCCTTGTGGGGGTGGTGGGGCATGGGCTGTGACTCACATAGAAGGCTTGCTCTCGAAGCGAGGGGGTGTCTGGTGGGCTCTGGCTATAGGTGGAGAAGCGTTTGGTGACTGTGGAGGCCTTGTTCACAGTAGAAGCAGCTGAGGGCTGGTCATCCTTATCGAAGGGACTAGGGAGAAAAGAGGCCATTATCAGGTGCCACGGCCCCCCTGGCCCAGTCCCTTGGTCTCACTGACCTCCATGTGACTTCCAGGCTGAGCTTGATGGTGCCAAGGTCATTGATGTCCACAGCCACAACCTGGGGCAGGGCAGCGAACAGGTCCTTGGTCTCACAGGAGACGCTGCCTACAACCACATGGGTGGCCAGGCCCTTCAATTCTGTCACCTGCAGCCAAGAATGCATTGTGGGGTCACAAGGGTGCAGTGGCCTTGAGATAGGGGAGAGCAGACTTCTGAAATTCCACAGGGTTTAGGTAAAGGTCCAGGGCTATGGGACAATGAGGAGGTTGTAGAGATTGGAGCTGTGGGGTAATGGGGCCGTGGTGGCTTGACGCAGCCAGGGATTTGAGTTGGTAGGGCGACTGGGGTCAGGGGAGTCGCAGGCCCATGAGGGCTCAGGAAGTCAGGTGGTCAGAAGTGACAGGGTCATGCCTCAGAGAAGCCACAACCATTACTCTCCCTTAAACCAGTGACAAAGATCACATGGTCACACCACACATTCAAAGGTGAAAGGGTCCCAGGTCATAAGGATTCACTGGATCATGGAGTCATAGGATCATGGGGTGCTATGGTGCTGGGCATAGACATCACCTTGATGGACAGGAATTCCGTGAGCAGAGGAAGAAAGACTGTTTCCTCACTGTCCCACACCTGCTTTCCGCTACCCTCAATGCGGCCCCTTAGTTTCCAACGCTGACGCCCATATTTCATGCAGATCTGGGGGAACAGGCAGGATGAGGCGGCCCTTGGCATTGCAACCCTGTGCTCCCAGCCCCCCAGCTATGTCTCTCTTCATACCTCATACTGATCACCTACACACAGCCTGGCGAAGCCAGCCAGCCCTGTGAGGGGGGAGAAGGGGATTTTGAGGGGTCTCAGGCATGCCCTTTCCTCCCTCTCCCCCCACCCATCTGCCTTCGCCACCGAGTACCTTTCATTCGGAGGTGAAACTCGCCCAGCTGTGCCTCTAGCTCACTCTCCAGCAGACACATACTCTGGGAGGGACAAGCAGGGGACAGGAGGGGGTCAAGGACCAGTCCCCTTTCACCATACCCTGTACCTCCCCTTCGTGGGTATGCACCCCTCACCTCAGTGTACTCTCGATGCCCCCGGGTAGCCTCAGCCAGACTGTCCCTGGCCTCGCGACTCCCTGGGGACCCCGTACTGTAGGCACGGACCATGTTGTAGGCGCCATCTCGGAGACGTCGCTGGACACAGTATGCCTCATAGAGCTCGTCAATCTGGGTAAGTGAGAAGGGTGGCACGGGGACACTGAGACTCACTACTGGGCTGCCCGCTCAGGCCGTTGTCTTCCCCCACCTCCTAAGGCAGCATCCCCCCCCACTCCAGGTGCATACCGCCTGCTGCGCCCACGCACCTTGCTGGCATGGAACTCCAGCCGTCGCAGGAAGCGTTCGATGGACTTGACTTGCTGGGGGAGAGGTGCATCAGGAAGGGCCTGAGGCCCAGGGCCCTTCACCCTCCCTCGGAGCCAACCTCTCCCATCACCATTCTCTACACACTCACCTTGTCCAAGTCATACAGGAAGCCCTGCAGAGGGGAAGGAAAGGAGGCACTTCAGAGGCATGGGGAATATTCCAGGAGGGGCACTTGCCCCCCAGACGCATCTCGGGCTCTCTTCCTCTCCCTCACACCAAAGCCCACAGCCACTCCAGTGACCGCAGAACTGACCCCCACTTCCCATGTGCCTGGCCCTTGGTGGGCACTGGTAACATAGATGCGGTCCCCAAGCCACTCCTTCCCTGGAATCCCTCCATTAACCCACTGCCTCCCTATCCTGCAGCCCTGGGAAGAAAAGCTGTCCCCTCTTCTGCAGTTTCTTCTGCCAAGGGACCCAGCTGATGTGTCTCCTCCTCTGAGATGTGCTGAAACATCTTCCCCAGGTATAACCATGGCTCTTTCCCTCAGGACCACTAATCAGAATCATGCCTGTGGAGGGGTGACCTTCCCTCTGGAAGCATCTGTGGACAGGCACTGCACCCCAGGCAGAAAGTGCAAGGCCTGGGGATAGACGCTTGCCCAGCCTTACCTGAGAACCTGTTTCGTGGTCATTCCTGCACTAAATCTCTCCAGAAAACTGCCCTGATATCACCCAGAGCTGGTCCTGCCAGGCCCCCACACCACACTGGCCAAGCCCTCACTCACCAAGCGGGAATTCCTCTTGGATTCCCTTATCTGCACCTGCAGTTTCTCCTGTTCCTGCTGGTGCACTTCCAGATAGGCCCTGGAGAAAGGGGTGACAAGAACAGAATAAGCTCACTCTCCTGCCTCCAGCTGCCCTGGGTATGGACAGCAGCTAGGTGTGGGGCTGGGCAGGTTCCTGCCGGGAGGTCCTGGGACAAAGGGCCCGAAGGGAGTTGCTTACGTCAGGCCCCGCTTGAGCGCAGTGTACACCAGGTCCAACCGCTCAGGCTGCGGGACCTTGGGGGCTGGGTGCGCCACGGAAAACATTCTGGACACTCGGGAGAGTGCTGGGGGCTTCCGTGGGGGTCCTGGGGGACTGAAAGCTGGGAAGCTCCTGAAGAAGAGGTTTCACTCAGAAAGGGACCAGAGGTATTCCCCCAAACCCTCTCTCCATACCCTGTCCCAACCCCATCCGGCTCTCTCGACCATCACCCGCCTCTGCTGCGTACCTGGGCGCCCGCTCGTGGCTGCCGAGGACACCTGCGAAGGACTGGCTCCTACTGACCCGGGCGCTGAGCAGGCGGCGCTGCGGCCGCACGGACAGGGACATCATGGAATGAGTCCGCGCGGGGCTCCCTGGGGGTGGCGAGGGCGGGTATCCAGCGCCAGTCGGGCCCTCGGAGCCCCCTCCCCGCCGCCCGGCCTCCGAATCTCGTCTTATCGGACACGGTCTGACCCCCGGAGCATGACAGCCCCGTCGTTCCGGACGCTAATGACAGGGCGGCCGCTGGCGACTCGGCCTCAGACTCAGCGTGGCCTCGGCTCGGCCCCCACTTCCTGCAGAGGTGCTTGGCTCCGCCTGCCGCGGGGCAGGAAGGGGGGTCGCGAGGGGACCCTCCCCGGGCAGGGAAGGGGCAGGAAAGGGGCGGGGCGCATGAAGAATGTGCGGAAGCGCCTGTTTGCCCGGGGGCGGGGCGGGCTCCCCAGCCCTGCCCCCGACCCCCCTCAAGCCCCCCCGCACCCAAGCGGACCAGGAGCTCCTGCGCCCCCACCCCGGGAGGACGCGGGAGGTCACGGGGCGGGGCGGGGTGCGCGCCCTAAGCCCAGCGGAGCTACCCAACAGGCCAGGCCGGAGCGGGTTTGGCTCCCACGACCCGCCCGCTCCGCGTAAGCTGCTCCCCTCCAGCTCCCTCCCGCTCCGTGGCGCCCGGACGCCGCAGCCCTCCCGAGCCCCAAAGCCTGGGGATTCCCAGACAGGAGAGTAGTGCCGAGAAATGCTCCGCCCCGCCCCCCCTTCCCAGCGGCTCCCTCCTGGAAACTGAGTCACAGACGGGCGCCTCCACTCGTGCCCAGAGCGGGAGGGGGACCTCAGAAGACCCCACCCTGCTCCAGAGAAACGCGCTCTTTGACCCGCAGAAGCCGGCCCGCACCCCCTGGGAACAGCCCCCCAGCGCCTTCGCAGCCCCAGGCAGGATCCTACCTTTCTTCTTGGCATTCATGGTGGGTCCGGGACAGTCCCCACCCCACCCCCGCCCTTCGCCCGGGTATCCCCGTGGACCCAGGGCCACTGGTGCCCGCGCAGCTGGGCTCCACGTTCGCTCGCTCTCAGGGACTCTGGCTCGGACTAAAGCTCCTCCCGGCGCCGCCCCCCGCCCAGTTCCTGCCGCCTGACTCAGCCCGCCGGGATGGGCGGGACCAGCCGGACCTAGGGGGGCGCCGGACCTCGGCAGCCTGGCCTCTGGGAGCGGTGACTGGAGGTTCCCCTAGTGCAGGGGGTCTTCTCCCCTGGCATCAGGAGGGGAGTAAAGGAGTTGAGCGTGGACGGATATGGACGGATAAACAGAATGGGGACACTGAGTGGGGGCTGGATGGGAGGCAGTTAGAAGACTTGTGGGGCTTTTGAGGGCGCTGAGAGAAGGCTGAACACACAGAGGGCTGAAGGCAGAAAGGACTTGGGGGTGGTGGAGGGATTGAGCCCTGGAGGAGAGTATGAGGGACCTGGGAGGCGGCTACGAAGAGGGAGGGACTGAAAGTGTGGGGAGGGGCCTTCCCTAGTGGCGCAACAGGTTAAAGCACAGCACTACGGAGCTATGTCAGCCACAGAAGCACCAGTTCCATCCGCTGCCGTGAGCTGCCTCACCCGCTGCTCCCCTCAGCAGTGTGCTTCGTGGTTCTGCCTGTTCTGCTCCCTACTGTCTCTGGTGAATCCTCTCACCCCTCCACCTCTGACCTGTGCCCCAGTTCTATATGCATAAACAAATCTTTAAAAAGAAAGTGTGGGGGGGCCCCAAGAAGGAAGCAGAGACCCAACTGAGTGCACAGTCCCACTGGCTCATGCACCACCCACTTCCCTGAGGACACCAGGAGAGATCAGGTCCTGTTGCCCAGCCAGGGCTGCCTCACGGGATGAAACTGCATCCCAGGACTGAGGCCCCAACCTTCTGACTCCCAGCACACAGGCTGAATCCCCAGGTCAGCCCTTTCCCACCCCCAGTGTCTCCTTAAATATCCCTTGTCCACCTCCAGGCTGAATAGAGGCCACTATGCCAGGACCACTAGGCATCCCATCATTCACCTGCTGAGTGCTCCTGCTGCTTGATGCTCAATGCTGCACTGAGCTTACTTGCTCCCTCAGAGACTGGGGTATTTTTTGTTCTGGGGCTGCATTTCCAACCTGCACTGCCTCGTTCCCCCACTCCCATCCCCAGATTCAGATACTAACTGTCCCAGGATGCCAGTTGGAGAAATGCTATCCTCCTCTCCCTCGATGAAGACCCAGCACGATGGATGCATGCTAAACTGGTGTCCGTGCCTTTGGTGGACTGCCCACCCAACACGGGTCTCTTCAGCTCCCCATGAGATTACTCGCCAGGGGGTCCTACCACCTACCTGACCCTGAAATGCCCCTTTCCTAAATCATAACCACCCTGACCACAAACATTAGGTTCTCTTCCATCATTCCCACCTCCCCTGCCTCCCATCTGAGGCCTTGTGAGTCCTCAACTTATTTATTCAACTGTTCCCCAAGTGACAACATGTGCCAGTCACTGGAGATACAGCCCAGAATTTCACAGACACCACCCTGCACAGAGCTCTCAATCCACCTCTGCTTCCTTTCTCTCTGCCAGCTCCCTCCTACCTTCCCTGCACACCCTCCTCTCCAGCCTGGAACCACAGCTACCACCACCACCACCGCTGCTGCCTGAGCCCGCAGCCTGCTGCTAAAATCCCCAGCGTTCTGCACTTCCCGCCCATCTGGCAGAAACCAACCCTGGGCAACCCAACTCCGGGCCTTCTGGTACCTGCACAGAGGCTGGTGGAGTTGCCGGGGATCCTGCCACAGCAGGCTGGACTGAACCACAGAGCAATTCTCTGCCTCTGTCAGGCCCTAGTTTCTCACCCCAGCAAATACTTGTGTCTCGCCCTCTTCATCTCTCTTCCTGAACAGAGATGTGTTTCAGACTTTCTCCATAAGCGTCAAACAAGCTCAAGTCACTCCCACATAAAACTTGGAAACTACTCAAGTGCCTATCAGTAGATAAAGGAATGTTACACAGCAGAAAGAAGTCACACCTCCGTGTACAACCCTGGAGGAATTTTACAGACAGGATGTTGAGTGAAGGAGCAGGTGCAGAGTGGACATATGGTGCCCGTGATACTATGCAGTGGTCACAGGAGTCAGAATACTAAGTGCTGTTGGGGTATGCTGACTGGAAAGGGGTTCAGGGAGCTTGTAGGGTGCTGGTTATGTTTTATTTCCTAATCTGGGTTCTATTTCCGGATCTTCGATGGGTGTGTTCCCTTGTGAAAATACACTCTGCTTACGACTCAGGACTCCTACCCTTTCTGTATGTATATTTCAACGTGGAATTGGCTGTAGATAACAAACTGCAAGAAGAAAAAGACCCCTCTCTGGACTCCTTGTCTCTTTCCAGCCACTCCTTACCCCATTTTGATCCTTTCAAAGCCAAGTTTCTTGAAGAGATGTCTACACCTCCATTTCCTCTACACACCCACCCAGTCCTCTTTCCACCCTGGTCCCCTTTCTGCAACCAGCACACTCCTGACTGTTCCAGACAAGGTCCTGAGCTACCTCCCTGTGGCTGAATCCAGTCACCAAAGTTAGCCCTTATCTGCTTGATGGCAATAAAGCTTTTCTTTGTAACTTTGTGCTCTCTTCCCCCTTCATTCCCTTGAATTCCAAGAAGCAACACTTTCCTGTTCTTCCATCTAACTCTCTGGCTGCAACTTACTTTGCCACAAAGTATCTGTCCTCCCCATCCCCTAACGGAAGATCCTCATCTTCCTCCGCCCTTGGGGCCGGATACATCTCCCACAGCTCAATGCCTGGTAGAAACCTTGCCAGCTTCCTTATCTCTCCCTCACCCAAACTGCTCTTCTGCACATGGCCAACTCCCTGCTTGATGCCTCCAGGGAAACTGAGTGAGTTAGTTGCTGTTATTATCCCCATCTCAAAGATGGAGATCTGAAGTCCAAAAAAGGTGATGACATGCCCTGCGGGCCACACAACGGCCAGCTAACCTCTGGCCTCTCATCTGTGAAGTGGGGCTCGTAGGGTTTACCCCATAGGATTTCTGCCAGAATTAAGTGATTTTGTTAAGAAGGACAGTGCCTGGCACCACGGTGTGTCATCAGTGCCCAGTGGGCCGTGAGGGGTGTGAGCCTAAAGTCTCCAAAATGAACTTACTACTTCCTCCTCCGCCCTGACCCCTCCAGTCTTAATGTCTCCACTCTAGTTCCACCATCTCTTTACCCAAGACAGAAACTAGGGGCATTCTGGATGCCTCCGTCTCTGTTATTCCCCACATCCACTGGGCCGCAGCTCTTGCCACCTCTGGAATGTGCCCCTCACTTCTACCAACAGCTATAATTTGGGACCAAGTCATCGCCAATTTCCCCTCGAACCCTATAGCAGCTTCCCGGTGCTATCTCCACTCTAGCCCACAGGACCTGATCTGTGTTTTATCTAATAAGAAGGCTGCTTTTCTTAAAATTACAGCCACCTGCCAAAAACTGGCCTTCACTGGACTTCAGATCTCCATCTGTGAGGTGGGGATAGTAAGAAACAGCTCTCTCACAGGGCACTTGAAAAGGGCTCTAGAAGGCCTTGTCGGGAAAGGGAAGCTTTGTGTGGGCTAGGGATGCTGGGTGCACACACCTTACCTGAGGCACCACAGTGCTTGCTGCCTGCAGTTACTAGCACTTAACACCCTGTCTGACATTACACAGCTGGTGTATGCCAGGGTCAGGACTGAAACCCAAGCTGTCCAACCCCCAGATTTTAGATCTCTGACAGCCCTTTGTCTAACTCATGGAAATCCCTTAGCGTTCCCCCAAGACAGTCAGATTGGCATGACCAACGAGGACCCTCCAGCCTCTGTCTCTCCCCTCACACTTTTCAAGCCTCCTCTCCTCTGTGTCCTCTATCAACCCCCTCAGAATTTCACACCCCAATGTACTTGGCTTGAGCAGTTCCCTCTCCTTCAAGTCTTTCTGAAGTAAAACTTCTTCCTCCAGGAAGCCTGCCCTGGGTTGCTTCCTCCTGGTAGGCGCCTCAAAGCTTCCTCCCTCTGATCCTTGCGACACCATAACTCAGTTGTCAGTTCTCTTTTGGGGTCTGTCTTCCCACCAGACTGCAATTGGGGGCTGCCTCTATCTGCCTGCCTGGCTCTACTACAGCCTGGGGCGGTACAGGGTGCTGAGGGATCTGGTAACCCAGACATGGGGTCTGACTATTGGAAAGGGAGGTTTAAAATGTGTGTCCAGGCCCTCCCTTGTGGTGGAGGGGGTTAAAGCGCAGTACTATGAAGCTATCAGCAGCCACTGCCGCGCAAGTTCGATCCCCAGCCAGGAAGGTGACCCACATGGTGCGGCAAATCTCTCCTGACCCTCCCGCTGCTCCCCTCAGCAGTGTATTTCACTGTCTGCCTGTTCTGCTCCCCACTCTGTCTCTGGTGAATCCTCTCACATCCTGCATGTCTGGCCTGTACCCTGGTTCTTGTGGGTACCCATACAGAATTTGGTACAGGCCAAATATGAAGGGGTGGGGGAGTGAGAGGATTCACCAGAGACAAAGTCGGGGGCAGAACAGGCAGATCTACTGAAATACACTGTTGAGGGGAGCAGGAGAGGTCTGTAGAACCATGTGGGTCACCTCCCTGGCCAGGGATCAAACTCGTGCGGCAGTGGTTGCTGATAGCTCCATAGTGCTGTGCTTTGCCTCACTGCACCCCTACAACTTGCTGGTATCCACAAGTGAGTTTCTGTCCCCTGGGATTTTGTTAAAAACTGCCCGGTTAGGCTGAACTCATTCTTTTCTTGTTCTGACTGGGGTTTTGCTGCCACCAAGCCCTTAGTCCCAAAGGAACCAAAATAAGAAAACGCTGGTCCATCAGAATACCCATCTGAGGGAACTTTTTAGGGAGTGGACAGGCACCTTCTTCCCTGCTGGGTTTGGGAGGGAAAGAGCTGAACCCCTTGAGCTAAGGGAGAGGGTCTACCTCAATGGTGGGAGGTGGCAGGCAAGAGCAAGAGGACTCTTTGGACTCTGGAGCCCTGAAGTCCATTTCTGGACACGGCAGACAACTCAGTTCCCAAAGGGGATGGGGTCTGCACAGCCAGCTCAAAGCAGGAAACTGAACTCTGGCCGCCCGTCTGAGTTCCCACTGTCTCTACCACAGGCTCATCACGCCCAAACTGGAGCATTTGTGTGGGGACAGAGGTCCCTCCACTTTCTCTGCCCAGCTCAGTGGCACGCACCGCCCCGCCTGGCAGGGAGTCCCCAGTCCAGCTCCGCCCCGCCACGGAGCCGCCCCCGACTGAGGTAAACAGAGGCTAAAAATAATCCGGGCAAGGGGCGGCTGCAAGGGAGAAAGGGGTCCCTCCTAAGTCTGCCCCGTCACCATGGCAACTGCCCCAAACCCGGCTACTGACGTCATGTCTTGTCGCAGCTGCCCAAGCGCGGAGGGAGGGGGTTCGGCTAGGCCCTGGACCCCCCACCCCGGAATCGGGCGGAGGCTGGCCGGTGGCCTCACTTCCTGTCGGCCCCCTCCTTAGTCAGCTGGTCACATTCCCCAGTCTGCCGGCTGCTGCTGGAAGCCTTGTGGCTCTCGCTGGGACCGGCCTGGCTGGGGAGACTCACGAGCGAGCGAGTGAGCGAGGGGCAGCAGTGACTCAGCCAAGCAGCCAAGCCTTCGCACATTCGGCCTCAGCCCCGCACCCTGCTTGACCCTGGCCTTTATCCAAGTCCTTGCCCTTGTCTCAGGCCGCTGCCCCTGTAGGACCCAGAACTGGGAGGGAGGGTTGGAAGTGCAAGCCAAATCCAGGCTCCTTGACTCTGGAATATTTTATACCTCACTTCTAATTCTCATCTCCATCTCACCCTCTGTCTCCTCTCCTTACCACTGAGGTGGAGGGTACAGGGGCAAGAACTCAGAGAGGGGTCTAATTCCCACCTCTGCAAAACCAGCTGTGTGACCTTGAGAATATTACTAACCTCTCTGGGCCTTCTTCTGCAGCATATGGTCATAACCCTCCTCAGAGGCTGTGCAGACACAAAACCTCCAGGTCCAAGGTGAGACACCACAGGTGGTGGCCAAGGTACCACCATTGTTATATTGTTATATGAGGCTGCCCACAGGCCCTACTCCTGGCCTGGACACACACTAGGAACAACTTAATAGAACTGACTGGGAAGGCCGGACCCAGGCCTCACAGGGGAAATGAGGACAGCAGATGCTGAAGCCCCGGATTTGGTTGGAATCTCTGGCCTTGACCAGCAGCCCCCACCTCGAACCCGTTCAGCAGGGTGCTCAGGCCAGGCTGCTCCCAGAAACCCACTCGGCCTCCATTTGCAGGGATCGAGTCTTGCCCCCCAAGCGTGATTTTCTCCGCTTCAGCAGCGCCAGGTTTGAGCAGAGAATCCAGTCCCAGGCAGGGCACGTCCACCTCGGCCTGGCCCCAGAGCGGCTTAGGCCGGCGGTGGGGCCAGTAAGATTAGCTCATCACGGAGGCCGACCTGCACCCTAGTCGCCCCTTCCCCATTCCCAGCCCAGAGTGGGCGGCCGGGGCTCCGCTCTGAGAGCCCGTGCCAGGACCAAGGCTGGCGCCCAGGGCCCGCCTTCGGGCCTGGCCCACCCCAGGGCCCCGGGGCAAGGGCCTCCCGGGCCAGGCCGTGGGAGGTAGGGAGGCAGCGCCCGGCGCGGCAGGCCCGGAGGCAGCGTCTTTTGTGGAGCGAAGCTGCGTCCTTAGCGCTTGGGGGAGGGGAGGAACGACCCCTCGCTGCCCGGGTCCAGGGGCTGGGGCTGGGGCGGTGTGGGACAGGGCCGCACTGGGGCAGCAGATCGGGGCCCGATGGGGCGGCGTCCGTGGGGAAACATCGGGGACGCCGCGCCCGCCCCCCACCCGGCCCGCGGTCCCCGGAAACCGCGGGGACACTCACATGGCTGCGCTGGGCTGCGGGACCTCGCGCTCTCGGGGCGCTCGTTGCTCGCTGCCCGGCCTGGTCGCGCCGCAGCTGCTGCAGTCGCCGCCGCCGGCGCCGGCACCTCCCTCCACCCCGTCGCCCTGCAGCCCCGCTCCTCCCCCGACCCGCCGGGCCCCACCCCTGCGCTCCCGCGGCTCTGGCACCCCTGGAGGCGCCCACAGCTCGCTCCGCCCTCTTGGGTAACGGGGCAAGCCAGTGACCCGCGGAGGCCACCAGCTCGTGGAGGGGGGAGGGCGACCTCATAGGACGCCAGGGCGGTGGGAATTCTGCGCGCTCAGGATCCGCGGGAACAGGGGGACTCTCTGGGAATCGCTCCCCAAAGCAATCCCATTCCTTCCCAGGCAGACCCTACAAGAGTGCCCCACCGTAACCCCCTTGCTGTCCTCTCTCCAGACTCTCCAGACTCTAGAGGCCTTTCAAACGTGGACCTTAACCCCCATTGTGACCCCTTGAAACACTGCTGGATTGGGTTGGCTGGAGAAAACATCAGGGCCAGTTTGGGGGAGAGCAGGGCAGCCTGAAGCCTTCCCATGACAATTTCAGGGTCCAGGTGCTGCCCTCAGCTCTGCCCCCTGGGCCAGCCTCAGTTTCCCTGCTGTGGGGGCAGGCCACCCTTTCTGCTGCCTCTTGGCCAGTAAGTCTGGGCTCGTATCCAGGCGCAGAATTCACCACGCACTGCATACTGGCTGCTGGGGCGTCTCATGCGTGCGACACTCAGGATCTGGGTAGCCAGACTGGGGTATATTAGCCAAAGGGCCAGAGCCCAGTTCTTTCCAATGAAGGGGTTGAAATGCTGGCTCCCCTGGAGTGGGTTGAGGAGGAGCTGAGCGCAGACCCTATACTGGGGTCAGCGAGCCAGCACCACATACACCCCTCCCAGCGACATGACTCAGCCGGCCCTCCTCAACCTTGAAATCTGGGCTTCACTCCTGCAGCCCTTAACCTTTTTCTTTTTTTTTTTAAGATTTTTAAATTTACGCATATGAGAACTGGGGTATAGGCCAGAGGTGCGGGGCGGGGGCTGGGGCAAGAGGATTCACCAGAGACGGAGTGGGGAGCAGAACAGTTATATTGACTGAAATACACTGCTGAGGGGAGCAGTGGGGTGATCTGCCGGGCCATGTGGGTCAGCTCCCTGGCTGGGGATGGCCTTGTGCTGCAGTGGCTGAGGACAGCTTCACAGTGCTGCGCTTTAACCCCTTGCTCCTCCAGGGAGAGCCCAGCCCTTCACCTCCTAGGGGTTTGCGGGACTTCAAGAGGCTCCTGGATATTGGCCTCCTTGACTCCTGAGAGTTGGCCTTGGAGACGCCAGATGGGGGCTGAGGAGGTAATGACGGTGGCCTCAGGGGCACTGACACCCTCTCCCTCACCACCTCCTATCAGCAGCACACCGCAAACCTCTTCTAGCTCTCCCACTCTTGCTGCTCTGCCAGTTTCCGCAGCAGCACCCCTTCTCTGTAGTCCTAACCTGGGCTGGCTTCCAAGGCCTGGGTAGCTTTATCTCGCTCGCTCGAAGAGATCAACCAGTCTCAGAGTTCCTGCCCCACCCCTGTGGGCCACTCCAAGCCTCCTCTGTGCCCAGAGCCGTGTCCTGCCCCAGGCCTCCAGATCTCATGACTTTCCCTACAGAGACTTCTTCCTCTGTCCTCATCTCTGCAAAGCACCTGGGCTCCCCCACTGAGCCAAAGGTGGGATTGTCTGGAGCTCTCCAAACTGACACAGATCGGCCCCTGTCCACCTCAAAGCCTCAGCAAGGCATCCTCCCAGCACCATGTCTGAAGACAGCCTCTCCTGGCACTCCCTGGCCCTCACCCTGTTGGCCTCTGTCTTGCTGCTGCCGACCCACCGGGCAGCATTTGCCCACTGTGCTCTCTAGAGCAGCCTGCCCTTGCCACTCTAGCTCTGACGGGAACAACTATGGCCGTCCTCATCCTTTGCCCCTGGCCCATGGTAGGAATTCAAGAGATATCTGTTGAATGAGTAAAATGTATGAACCCCTGATGCCCCCTCTTTCCCATCCCCCCATTCATTCAGCCTCCTAGTCCTGTTGCTTCTATCTCCTTAATGGGGTTCCAATTCATTCCCTCCCTCACCCTACCTCCCAACCCCTACTCAGTCCTTTATATGTTCATTCAACAAACACCCATTGAGCACTCAACGATGGGCAGTGTATTGGCCTCAGGGGTGACAATGGCACTTAGCTGTCCCCCTGCCTTAGCTTAGGATGCTGATGAAGGGCCACTGATTTGGGAGGAGAGGGATTTGTCTGAGTTCACTGTCAAGGAACTCTTTCTCTATTTGAAATTCCACTTCCAGAAAATACCCACTTTTTTTTTTAAGATTTATTTATTTATGTTCACAAGAACTGGGGTACCAGCCACAGGTGCAGAGGGTGAGAGGATTCACCAGAGACAGAGTGGGGAGCAGAACAGCAAGATGGAGTGAAATACACTGCTGAGGGGAGCCGCAGGAGACAGGAGAAGTCTGCTGCGCCATGTGGGTCAGCTCCCTGGCAGGGGATCGAATTCGTGCTACAATGGCTACACACAGCTTCACGGTGCTACGCTTCAACCCACTGAGCCACCAGGGAGGGCCCCAAATTCCTACTTTTAATGAATGACTCCTTCACTCTTCACATCAATCACACCTTTCTGTTTCTGGTCTTTCCTCAGGTGGTAGGTACATGGACTTGGGCCACCACCATCTTTTCTAACCTCCCTCACCCAACAGATTTTTAAATCACAAATCCGGTCATATCAATTCCCTACCACCCTCATGATAAATCCAGGATGTATAGTGTGACTTCCAAGGCCCAGGAGATCCAGCCTCAGGTGACCTCACCTCATTTTCACAGCTGTGTAGCTGTTGCTCTGACCCCACGGCACTAAGCGTAACTCCTCTGGCCTCTGCCTCTTCTCCGAGCCTCCTTCTACCTGGATGCTCTTCTCCCATATCCACTTGGCAAACGACTTACTCAAATGTCACCTCCTGCAAGAAACCTGTGCCACTGGCTTCACAGAATAGCCCAAGCCCAGAAAAATGGAGGCTCCCGTCACCCTACCCCACAACCCTCAGGGCTACAGTTGTCTGGTCTGCAACTTCACCCCCACTAATCTGTGAAGGGACAGAACAGTGGCCTGTCCTCGTTGTTCAGCATTCAGTCATTTACTCACTGGCATTTGGCGAGCACATGTGGAACCTGAGGTGTGCCTGGCAGAAGTGGGGCCAGAGATGAAGTCACCCCAGGCCTTGCCTAGAGGGGCTCAGTCACTTAAGGCAGGGACACTGGAACCGATTCCTGGATGACAAGGAAACAGTCAGAACCACGCAGAAGAAAAAGTATGTCAGGTAGAGGGAAAGGCAGGATCAATGGCTCAGAGGTGAGAATGAGCTTGTTTTGTCCAAGCCATGTGGCGGGCACAGAGGAGAGAGTCTGGCAGGGCTAGGCAGGGAGGGGAGGAGGGTGTTACATTTCTGAACAGGGAAAGGGGCGCGACACAATCGACACTGGGGAGTGGAGAAAGTGCCAGGACAGCCCCTGTTCTCCTGCCTCCATGGGCCTCGGAAGCTTCGCAGGCTCCTCCTTTGCCACTACTGACGGGGCCTTCTGGACATTGTAGATCCACCTGGCTGTATTTTCTTCTTTGTATTTACACACACGAAAGCCTGTGTGCAATGAATGTGTCATCGTTTTCAAAGAAACATGATCATTACTTATCAAGGCATTTACAGGGTGGCCCCTCAGCTGGTGAGTCTAAATTTCTAATCCAGGATGGAAGCTGTCCCCAGGCTGAAGTCCAGGGAATGTCTTGCCACTGTCGGCAGTGGCCCAGCTTTGGCCTCCAGGGGGAGCTGGGAGCTGGGAACTGGCCGGCTATGGGCTGACTGGACAAGGGGTGGGGTGACTGTGTCCCCAAGCTGGGCTAGGCGTCCTTCCTTCCTTCCTGACTGCCTTCTCTTAAATGACAAGTCTGGGAGGGACGTTCTTGCCTCTCCCAGATCACGGGATGCATTGCTCCCCTGGGACACTTTCAGGCCTGTGTAGTTTATTTCTGCGAGTTCCTACTACTAGAACTCGTCTGAAAGACTTGGAAGGCATTATAGTGTGAAGGATTCTGACCACAGGGCATCTGGAAATGCTCTCCATCCCTGGGGTCCCTAAATTGACCCTTGGCCTGCCCCAGTTAAAACCAAGGCCAGAGATGGTCTTTGGCGCCACCGTGTGGGGGATATCCACGCTGCAGCTACAGAATTCTCAAACTAGCCCCCAACTTCAGGGGGTTCACCCTGACCCCAAGGAGTGTTTTTGTGAATGAGTAGTTTGGCAGTGGGCAGTGCACAATCTTTGCAAGCCTATGTGGCTTCAGGCCTGTTCCCGGTGACGGTCACTGGGCGCCTGCTCCACACTCTGGCATAAACTGAAGTTCCCTGACCCTCCTGCTCTCAGTTCTCTCCTCTTCCCCCTCTTCCAAGCGTGATGCACAGGAGACATGGAGATGATCCTGCCTCCCTTCAGTGCCCCTCTGGCTTCTGTGACGTCTCTTCTTGGATTTATAGCTGTTTCCTGGCTCTTTCTCTGTGCCATCCTTGCTGCCTGGGCCTTCATACTTCCCCAGGCCACCACCAAAATTTACTGCCCACATGGTGATGCCTTGAGTCTTGGTGCGCCTGTCTCTGGCTCCATTTTCCCTCCCTGGATGAACCTTGTGTAATGTCAACCTCATTTCTTCTCTTCAGCACTCCCTAACATGGGTGTGGGTAACCTTTCCCCATCAGCCAGCAAGTCACCCACCCTGTTCTCTCCACGTCCACAACCCAGACCCCATGTGTACCTCCTTTCTGGCTCCTGACTGTCCTCATCTTCACCATCTGCTTTCTGCACAGGGCCGCTGAGTGGTCTCTGCATGTCAGACCCTGTCCCTCCACACTCTCCCTGGCTCTTCAGCGCTGGTCAGTTCCTCCCCAGGGTGTCATAGTCCCTGGCCAGGCAGAACGACTTTGTTCCCAAATACACCCTCCAATCCCATGCCCTG